AAGAGCCTGCGCTGGTCTTCTCGCTAGCCCCGAACATCTCTGAAAGGCCGTCAAATATCGCCCAAAAAGTCCCAGTTTTTTTTTACAGTGTGTTCCTCATTACGCCGTCGTAAAAGTGTGAACACGAGAAAACTTTGATTACCTAGGAACATCTGATTGTGTCATAACAATGTGGAACTCCAAAAGTTTATTCCAAAAAAACTCAAAAGACAGCAAAACTCTCAAAAGTTTTTTTATTCCAATGTGAAACTCCAAAAGTTTATTCCAAAAAACTTCAAGACTTTTGCTGTCTTTTGAGTTTTTTGGAATAAACTTTTGGAGTTTCACATTGTTATACACATTCAGATAAGTAATGAGACTCCGGGACAGCACCATACTCCGATACCTAGGAGCAGACTAATTTCCACAGCTACTTGAACAGCTCTATGGGATCGTCATCGTTTTGTTGAGAATGACTGTATCATTGAGATCATTATAACAGTGGGGGGAAGTGTTATTTGCCATCTACCTATCCCTCAGCTAGCTCTAAGGTACCTAACTCCTCGTCTTGTTTCACAAGCTTTAAGTTGGATATTATGAATTCAATTTTAAGTTTAATTTTACATGCTTCCCTGGAGCAGGCCTCCTCTAAAAACAACAAACCTTTTTCACTTTTCGATGGGCTTTTATTCCGCTTTTTTATGAAAAAAGCATACAGAATTTCCAACCGAAGTAATGTTACAAAGACCTTCCAGAACCCTGCCGTCTTGTTAAAGGTACAGTGCGCGATGGGGCATAGAAGTTGAGAATATGGGGTCAGGAGGGTAGTGTGGTTCGCGACGAACAACCTTGTACGGTCGCACAGTTCTTACCGGAGAATCAGCTGTGCGGATGAGGGCGTGGTGTTAGGTTAGAGTCAGGGCACTTACAAGCTGGGATCAAAATGGGGTTCTACGCAGGGCAGTTGGCATGTTTTTTTCTGCTTTTTTTCTTCACTATCGAGTTACTCAGCACCTTGTCGTCTATATGCAAACCCCTAATCCACTATCTGTGATGGCGAATGATCGCGGGCTTTGCCTTTGAAGAAGAAAATCGTTCCCGTTCTTGCGTTGCTTCGTTATTTGTTTTCGTTCTTCCTTGCAGCGTTGGACCTTCAGTAAGAAAACTGCTGGACATGTGAACTTGTAAAAGTTCGTACTTAATTACATCATCATGAAATCTCACTCACGAAAATTTTCAGTTATCACAGCACTATAACAATATACAACAAAGAAATGCGGAATCGAACGGGCGATAACTCCTGGTCTGATTTGGCTGCTATTGACTGGATACGAAGCGCTGTTCGCTGCGTTGCCAGTTAACGGGATGAGCTTGCATCAAATGAACTAAGCCTCAGAAATCATTATGAAATCAGACCTTTGAAAGACAATAATGATTCAAAAAGGTCAGGGCATCTAAAAGCTCCAGAGTGGGCTGTTCTCATTCAACATCTCTCGAAAAATCCGGGCTAGGAACACAGACATGGATTGCAGAACACTTTAGTTTTTTACTTCGCCTGGCGTCATTACGATGTGTTGCAAACCTATGGACATGTTACAGGAGAAAGAAGGAAGAGAGAGCACCGCTGCGCAGCCAGGTTATGACGGACTGCGAAACATTCAGTGCATCAGGCTTTTCAAGGGCCTTGTCCTTGTTAGTGCCCCGTTCCTTGGAGCGTTTTCAAGCAGACGAAGTTATTCTGCACGGCAGTCCGCACGTTGCACTAACAGACTCAGAAAAAATCCATTTATTACAGTCCAGAACTTTCTTAGAAGAAACTTCTTCGTTATCAGTAATCGTCCAGCAACATCACAGTTGTATTGTAAATGATGTTTTTTAATAGGAGACTTTTTTGGCATCCATAGCTGATCATCTATCGAGACGTACCCATGTAACTACACTGGACTGTAACTGTGGACTACATTTAGCGTAGCTCTTAACTTTAGTTGCAAGTTGTCCGTGGCTATTATCTCACAAGGATAAAGTCGACAAATCAAAGTGCACACGGGAAATAAGAATATAGCGGTACATTTAGGAGCACAGTGCACGGTGGAAAATTCAGAATGTGAAGAAAAAAAACAGATGTAGGTACACTGTGGTCTCCATAGAAGAGAAACGCAATGTCGCTGACGGCACTTGATATAAACCAATCCTTAGTAGCGCGCCTAGGTTTGAATACATCGCTGAGCTCTTTTGAAAAGCTGGCGCACTGTGGGAAGACCTGGCAACGGAAAAAATCAACAGTCCAACGTCCGTGTTTAGCGCGCTCGCTCTAGGTGGGAGATTTTGCAAATTCTCAGGCGTGGTATGACCTGCAGCTGATCGGAGATTGTGCTCTCGAAGGAGCCTCGTTGTATACTGTATA